CTCTCGCTCAAGCGAGAGGCAACTGGTGGTACGACTGCTTAAGCAGTCGACCAACCTCCCAACCACCCTCGCACGCGAAGGTAAGACGGTCTAACCGCTTCCTCGCTTGTGCATAAGGTGTGTGCTCGTAGTACGAGGCAACTTCATAGAAGTGCCCGTCTACAAGCGCACAGTTGCGCTGTTTTTTTGGGGCGGAAGCCTAGTACATGGCACTCAGCTTATGTACGTAAGAGGTTCTATGGGTACGAGCTATGCTTAAAGACCTCGGCCATCAGCAGTGGGGGATACTCTAATTTTGGAGGACGGGCGTTATGCCCAATGTTGGGTGTTGGCAACCTATGTTAGGTACAACGCTTGAGACCAAATACGTGGCCATTCGCCACTACTTCATTCGTTAAAACGTGACTAGGGATGCTATCACGGTCAATTCCATCAGCACGGAGAAAGGTTAGCGGCCATGATAACAAAGTCGCTAGGAACCAAGCGAGAGACGACATGCTTATCTTTGCTATTGACTTACTACTTGTGCTAAAGAATTCCTCCAAGGACAAATGACGAAATATCACATCTTTGGAGTCCTATGGATTTACTCTGTGGCTATCATCTCGCTCTTTGATACTCGATATGCACTGTTTGGATTCGGTTGGCTCAGCTCAAGTGGAGATATTGTCGATCGCAGTGAAAAACGGACGGAAGGGGCAAACAAGACACTCACAGCAGGCGATTTCTTTGTTTTGTGCATCATCGTAGTGTACTGTATATCGCGGATTGCAATTGTACGCACGCTTGTCAAAGAGCTTCCGGACCCATTTCGTACTCGAAAACGTATCTCAAATACTATGTGGGTTGCTATATTGGATACTGGACTCTAGTGTTGGCATGTTATAGTATTTAACTTATTGCCACACTTCAGATGATGATAATGCAGGAGGTATATGTTGTCGAGTATGGCATCATTTGTTCGGTCTGCTGCTTGCCAAAGGAATGGGACATGTATTAATTTGGACGCGGACGTCCAATATTCCAAGAATGATTGAGCAGCTTCGGATGAATGGAAATATGAATCTTCCAGGAGAAGACGAACATTGAAAAGACAATATCAATTGGGCGCTTCGAACCAAAATTGTCACCAACATGACCAAAGGAATTTGCCAAAGCGGTGATAGAGCTGAACAACAAGCACGAGCATCATCGGTTAAATCGTCGGTCCTATCTGTATCGGGGTCGTCACTGGAAGAGGGATCAATTGACTACTATGACGACTATGACGACCGAGTAGAAAGTTGTACACAGATCAAAGAGCTGATACTTGAAAATCGGAACGGATGGAAATTGGCACTTGATGAACGCATTAAGGATTTTGCTCACACGTATTTCGTCGTCTTCGAGAGAAAGCAAAGGTCTTAAGTGTAGTGAAGACACTTACGAACGAGGAGCTCAATTTTCGGCTGAGTATCCTACCAACCTATCACCCTTTCAAGAAGAAGATACAACAACCCATTTACAACACGCTTATTTTGGCTGCTACGGCCTCACCATGTATGACAAGACGGTCTTCTTCGTAGTCATTCAGAGTGTTTCGCCACGTCACTCTCAATTCATGAGCGGTTTGATCTGAAAGGGTCGTAAGTTGGTCGACTTTGAGGGTCGCAAGCCTACGGGTACCATCGCAACTTGCAAATGCTGCAATGTCGAGTACATGGTAGGTGGCAGTCACGACCAACGCTGCAATGTCCGAGGAGAAGGTAATATGAACCACCAACTAGTACGACCAAAATCGTCAAGGATCTCAACTGGAATTGCCACATGGCACTGCCATATCCAACGGCACGAGCAGTTGCAATTCAGCTGATCCCTCTATAGCATCCTTTGGAGCTCCTGGTTATCTATCGGAACATGTCAACTTTATCAATACAAGACGTATACTTGTGATCAGAATTGGATAGCCGTACGCATTAAAATGTAGTGTAAACGCAAAGAATTAGGTCTTAATGAAATGATAAAAGTCATTAAAATGGTCTTTTAATTCCTATCAATCCTATCCACTTGTGCAGGATCTTTAGGTGAGGATGCTATGAGTATTAATTTCTACAGGAATCACACCAAATTCTCGTGTTTAGAAACGTATACTCTAAAACTTAATACATTCCTCTCTTCGAACTCGAGTAAACTTGTGAAATTTAATTTTTTTCACGCACTTGAGACCCTTTCGTCCCTTGGGCGGCTATGGCGAACGCGCGACTGCAAGAAACGCAGCATTCCACGTCTTTTCCTGACTCCAACGCCTCGGAACCTCTTCATAACTCGATGCCGCACACACTGAGCCTTGAAATTCCGTCATTAAGCGTTTCAGTGGCTCCAAAAGAGCACTTATCCGATGCTCAGAGTGAACGTGAAGCCTTGGAATCGGCTTTAAAGAGCCGAAAAAACACATTAGAAGCCCAACTTGAAGCTGTAACGCTTGGGAAATTAATGCACAAGGAGCTACTGCCCCATTGTGACGCTACGGGACGCCACGTCGCTCGGTATCATCGTGATTTTCTCCTTCAAGAGATGGAATGGATGGCTGCTGATTTCAATCAAGAACGGAAATGGCGGGTACGTAATGCCAAGACATTGAGTCATGCACTTGTGTCGCATTTAAATCGACAAGAAGGTCGTCTTGCACGACAAGTAAAGAAACTCGAGATGGCCAAACGACGTCGAGCGGCTCGACTGGGACGCGAAGTGAAGAAGTTTTGGGCCAAAATTGATAAAATCATTGCGTTTAAAGTGAAATTACAAGCCGATGAGTTGAAACAACAACACATGGAGACACAGTTGCTGCAGTTGGTTCATCAGACGGAAAACTATGCAATGGCACTAGCAGCAAGTTTTCAAGAAGAAGAAGAAGAAGAAGAAGGAAATCGAAAAAGACAAGAGGAGGAGGAGGATGGAGAGTTTGAACTTGATGAAGAAGAAGGAGATGATGAAGCATCGATTGAAGAAGAAGAAAAGAAGAATGGAGTCATGTCAAAACGACAAGTAGCACTGGAAGTAAAAATGTTACAAGAAGAAGGAGACATGTCACTTGATGAATTGAAAGCGAAATATGCGGACATGAGAAAAGAATGTGAAAATGAAGGGATGGACGTGGATAGTGCTGATAGTAGTGAAGATGGAGATTTTCAAGCTGATGAAGAGGAGGAGGATGACGAACGATCGATTGCAGAGGAAGAAAAAAAGAGTGGAGTCATGTCAAGACGACAAGCAGCGCTTGAAGTAGCGACGTTACAGGAAGAAGGAGAGATGTCGATTGATGAATTAAGAGCGCGGTATGCTGGTGTTTTGGCAGTAAACGATGAAAAGCTTGTGTTAGAAGGAGGCGATGCAAAAAAGATGGGGGAGGAAAATGATGATGAAGATGTTGGTGATGGTGAGTTCGTCCCTACAAAATGCGAAGAAGAGGATGAGGTAGATGATGAGATTACAATTGAAAAGGAGGAAAGATTAGGTCGGGACGCCTCGCTGGTCAGTAGAGCAGAGGAATTACGGCTACTGGAAGAGGAAAGCAATATGTCTATTGAACAACTTCGAGCACGATACGCGACAGTCTCAGACGATGAAGAGTCGAGTAGCGACAGAAACGGGAGTGCAAGATCAGATGTAGAACATGACAGCAATGAGACGTATAGAAAGCAGGAGTGTCCTAACGATGGCAACACCAAAGAATTGGTTGATGTCTCGACTTCTTGGTCTCCTGTGGCACGAAAGAGTGGTTATAAGCGGCCATTCCTGCTGACTTCACGACTAGATTTACGAGAGTACCAGGAAACTGGAGTGAATTGGCTCGTCAGCATGTGCGAGCGGTGCATCAATGGCATCCTTGCTGATGAAATGGGTCTTGGCAAAACTATCCAGACGATCTCACTTCTAGCGCATCTAGCTTGTGCGCAGGGGCTGTGGGGCCCTCATCTTATTGTAGTACCCACGAGTTGTCTTGTGAATTGGGAGATGGAGTTCAAGCGTTGGTGTCCAGCATTTAAGGTGTTGACGTATTTCGGTTCAGCAAAACGCCGCAAAGAGCTTCGACAAGGGTGGTCAAAGCAGAATGCGTTCCAGGTGTGCATTACCAGCTACCAACTGGTGGTGCAAGATGCCCACTGCTTTAAGCGTAAAAAATGGTACTACCTGATTCTTGATGAAGCACACAACATCAAGAACTGGAAGAGTCTACGCTGGCAAACGCTACTGACCTTTAGCTCACAGCGTCGCCTTTTGCTTACGGGTACACCGCTACAGAACAATTTACTGGAGCTTTGGGCTCTTATGCATTTTCTCATGCCGCATGTATTCGCATCGCGCAAGGAATTTAGCTACTGGTTTCAAAATCCTTTAGCATTAATGGTGGAGAATGGCAGTGATCCAGCTCAATCAGGAGATAATGAGGTCGAAGGTGGCAAAGACTTGGTGGCACAGCTCCATGGTATTATTCGACCATTCGTATTGCGTCGTCTGAAGAAGGATGTGGCGAAACAACTGCCGGGCAAGTTTGAGCACGTTATCACATGTCAGTTATCGAGGCGACAGCGATTCCTGTACGAGGATTTTATTTCGCGCAGCGCTACACGTCGCGCAATGTTTGGCCGTGGGAAAGGCCGCGGTGCCAACTTCATGAGCATGATGAATGTCCTCATGCAGCTACGGAAAGTTTGTAACCACCCTGATCTGTTTGAGCCGCGTCCGATTGCGTCTCCGTTGGATATGCCGGGTATTCATGTGCGCGTACCTTCACGTTGCGGTTATCTAGTTGATGAAATCGTAAACGAGCGTCCACGTGTGGCACTTTGGGCCGACAGTAATTTACCTGGTCTGGAATTGCTGCTAAGCGAAAAGTTTACTTCAAAACGACGAAGAGAACTTTTCTTTTATGACGTGAGTGCGCCACTTCCAGATGATACTGTTGCAACCGTGCCGTCAGTGTATGAAGGCAAAAAAGACATTGTGCGAAGGATCATTAGGCTTGCAGCTAAGCGCCGGAAATACTGGGAGAATAAGCGCGCAAGTGTTGCGCAACTTCAGAAGCTCCGCGTTGGGCTATATCTGGACGAACCAGTGTTTGGAAGTGCTCTTATTCGAAGTTGCACGATGCCTACTTTCATTTCACCAGCAATGGAAGTCCATATGCATCGCGCCCAGCCTTTTCTCGATTCTCGTCAACCGACATTGGCCTTGCAAGATATGGTGCGAGACCCTGAGGAGAGGCTGGCGTCACTGCAGACTATAGTTAACAAATCCGTTTGCTACGTGCCGAAGGCTCGTGCAATGCCTGCTCGTGTCATCTACGGAGGCGGCGGGTTTGTTTACGATGATAATTTCGTGTTATCACGTAAAGCTCAGGCTGATGAGCTTAGCCTGAAATACGCCCAGCCCGTGGCACATCGCATAGTAGCGCCATATTACAACTCGTTTAAACGCACGCAGCTATTTTTTCCCGACAAGGCGCTGGTGCAATTCGACTGCGGCAAACTTCAGCAGCTGGCAGTGCTTTTGCGCACGCTGAAGCGTGGTGGCCACCGATGCCTTATCTTCACTCAAATGAGCTCGATGCTGAACATCCTCGAGGTGTTTTTGAACTTGCACGGTCACACGTATTTCCGTTTAGATGGTGCGACAAAGGTGGAAAAAAGGCAAATGCTTATGGAGCGTTTTAATCGTGACGATAAGATTTTCTGCTTCATATTGAGCACGCGAAGCGGTGGTTTAGGAATAAACCTTACTGGTGCAGACGCTGTGATCTTTTACGATTCGGACTGGAATCCAGCCATGGATGCGCAAGCTCAAGACCGTGCTCACCGTATTGGCCAGACACGTGACGTGCACATTTACCGTCTTGTAAGCGAACACACAGTGGAAGAGAATATTCTTCGCAAGGCGCAGCAGAAACGACATTTAGATTTCCTTGTGATGTCAGAAGGGCAGTTTACCACAGACTTCTTCTCGAAAGCCAGCCTACGGGAGCTTATGGTTGATAGTTCAGGTAAACAATTCGAGGATATGGAATCCGAGCGAGAAGTTGACGATGAGAGTACAGACGAGGACATGGAAGACGACAACGATTTATCCCTTGATACCGTGGAACGCGCTATGGCGCAGCTAGAAGATGAGGAAGATGTTGTAGCAATGAAAGGTGCGCGGGCAGAATATCTGCAAGAACAGCATGAGTTTGACGAAGACGTGGGTGGTGATGGCAGTGTTGCATCCCCCAGTGCGAAAGTGTCGACAAGCCGTGTTGGGGATACGGTGTCATCGAGGCCTTCAACGCCATCGTCAGTATCGATCAGCACTGTTGCGAGTGAGAGGGGTGATGACGAAGATGACGAATTTGGGAACGAAAACACAGCAAATGAGGGCACAACAGAAGAAGTTAACAATCAACTTTCTAAGACGGAAGATATGTGCGATTTTGATGGGTTGGAGCCTGGAGAGAGCATAGGTTTTGATGAAAAGACTGACAAAGCTAGGCGAAAAAGACAGCGTTGCAACACGAGCGACCAAAGAAAAATGAAAAAGCGTCTGAAACTATCGAAGCCTCCAAATGAAAACGGTAAGCATGGTGAAAAGGTCCGCGAGAGAGCTCGTGACGCTGCTGAGGAGCAAAAGCTTCAAGCTTGGAAGGCATCAGTGCAATCTCTACAAGGATTTGAGGACTCATTAAATGCGGTAGATCGCTACGCTCTTCACTTTCGGGAAGATGTGGATCCTTTGTATACGTACACACCAGCTCAACAAGCTGCAGCGCTAGCTGAAATCGACCCCAACCCTCCTGCATCAACATTATTGGAAGACATAGAGCAAACTGAGATAGAAAAACGGGAAGAAGAGGCACGACTTATTGCAGAAGGTGAACTTATCGTAGGTCAAATGGTTGACAACGATGATAATTGTCCTGAGGAGAGGAGAGAGCATTATACCGAACTGTACCGTCGTGAGCGCGCGCGCGTTCTCTTCGAGCAGCGTAAACGTCTTTTGACTGGCGAAGCATGGTCACTTATGAAGTGTGCAAAGACTGGTCAGCCATTCTACTTCAATGCTGATACCCGTGAGGCTACGTGGGAATGTCCCCCTGTTCGGGTGGCTAACGAGCAGCTCAAGAGTGCACGAGGAAGAGGATACGAAGGCTTGCCACCACCCGCATTGCTTCGTGTGCTATCAATGTTGGGTCCGTTCCCCGAACGTCACCGCGCACAGATGGTATGCCGTAGTTGGCACACTGCCGCACAGCATCATTCATTGTTCGTTAAGATTTCTGCAAGCGATTTTGATCCAGGGTCTCCAGAATCTTTGGCAAAGATGTTAGCAAAGGTGGCTCCTGGTAGCACGGTACTTTTTGGCCCGGGGGTGTATCAATTTAACGAGACTCTTGAGATATCGAAGTCATTAAGGCTACTCGCAGCTCCTGATACGCACGTGGAACTGCAGATGCACTCCTGTCACGCACAACTTCGCTGGAGTGCTCGTGGTGGTGTAATTCGCGGTTTCTACTTCACGCGATCTAATAGTGCATCTGAGTCAGCTGTGGTTGATGTAAAGCCGAGCTCCGATGCTACGGAATTGGTACCGGCGGTAAAAGAGAGCAAACGCGCGCTCCGAAATCACGATAAAAGGCTGGGCAACTGGCAGAACTTACTACGAGTTGTTGGGGACGGACAATTGCGTGTGGAATACTGCGAATTTGACGGAAATGGTCTGGGCAATGCTTGTATATGTGTGTGGGGCCGTGGCGAAAAGAAAAAGAAGAAGAAAAAGAGGAAACGTGAGACTGCGGATATCAAGGCCATGTCTATGTTGAATCCAACTACGCCTCTTGTTGCAACTTCTGTGTCTTTAACTCCAACGACTACCACAACTCGGATTACTACAACGCCAGTGTCGACACCAGCAGGTACTACTGCTTTCGCTTCTAAACCGGCTGCTTCATCAGCTGCCCCATCATCAGTGAGCGATACGAGAAAGAGTGCTGTATCGACGACGGTTGCACCGGTGACTACTATGGCATGTGGTACCATTCCAGAGACAACGACAGCATGCGTTACTGCAACAAAAGTTACAACATCGCAAGCTACCACACAAGTGACTGCTACGGCAAATGTCAGACCGAGTATAACCACGCAAACGGCAGCAGACGCTGGGATATTACCTATTCGACCAGTGGTTTCTGCGTCTGTGACTACAACACCACCAGTTAACGCACCAGGTTCTCAAGTGACAACCACACCACGAAACGTTGCGGCGCCGTCTACCACAATTACCACCCCTGCGGCAGATACGTTGTTGGTACTACAAAACTGCCGTATTCGAGGTGCAGGGAGTTCGGGTGTGCTACTTATGCGTGGGTCATTAGTTATGTCGCTAAACACTGTTGAAGGGAATGCACACTCTGGTGTTACTATCTTGGGCGGTCAGGCGTTGCTTCGGCGCAACAAGGTTCAACGAAATGCTCGGTTTGGCTTAAGGCTGCTTTATCACGCGAACAATGTTATCGTTGAAGACAATGCGGTGTTTGGCAATGCTTGTGGAAACCTTGATGTCGACAACTCCGGTCGACGCTTTGTTGTTCGTTTGAATGATATGGACAAAGGTAAAAAGGCATCGGAGAAGCTACCGCATCTACATGGCAAGTTGCGCTTAAAGACTTATCGTGTGTTAGAAAAGGAAGTGCCGCGTGCCCCGGTACCATTTGTTAAGCCTGCAACCAGTACCACTACCGACTATTGGAAGAGGCAACTAGCCATGGGTGCAGCAGCTTCGACAACCTCACCGGCGATGCCCATGGCAAGTTCAGTTGTCACTTCGACTGCAAGTAGCATCATGAGAGCTGGAATTCCAATGGGCTTTATGCGACCTGTAGCATTTCCACAAGGATCTAATCCACTACACGTCTCACATTTACCGATGGCATTTGCATCGCTGGGAGCGAAGCCTACGATACCGTCCATGACGCTGAACCGACCAGCAACGAGCGCACAATTGCCTACGACAACAGTAAATTTGCAGCGCACGGTAAGTGCTCTTGGTACAGCAAGTAGCGTACCGGCGAGACCTGGCATTTTATCTGTGACCACGACTGCACCTACTACTGTACGCGCGACTTCTTCTATTGAGCCCCAGAAACAACGCCAGAAACGTCGGCCCAAGACGCAGCAACTCATCGCGGGCGGGCGCGAAATCTTGCTACGTGACACGTGCGAGAAACCCACCGAGAAGGTAGTGAAGCCACGACGTTCCAAGGACCAGCTGACACCAGTTGTAGGGTCTACAGGCTTGCAGAGGATAACTTCGCCTTCCCCGCTTCAGCTGAAATTTGCCCCTGGATCAACTGCGGCAGCAGTAGCAGCAGCGATGAGTGCAATGATGGCAAACACGGCTAAATTACAGGCAGCTGCATTGCAAGCACAGACTGGTGTAAGATTTGGAAATACTAGTACGACCAAGACACCAGTCGCCATGGCATCGACTGTGGGTGTAAAAGCTGTAACACCAACGACTGTTCCAAGGCCAGCGCAGACAAAAAGTATTGCGTCAATGGCTGCAAAAAACGTAACGGCGATACCGTCAACGCCGATGGTATCACCCGTGCAGAAAAGTAATACTCCTATGGCAGCGACAAGGCCAACGGTAGCTGTGAAATTGAGCGTTGGTACGAAAGTTGCAACGTCGGTGGCGGAGTTACCAGCGTTGAAGGTTATGGCACCACAGTCGATCGACCTTGTCAAGCAGTCAGCAAAACCCGGAGAAGAAGGGAAACTGGAAACTGCTAGAATGGAAACCAAATCAACGGGACAGGAGGGAGAAAAGAAGAGTTTTGGTGAGGCGAACGGCCAGCCAGGAAACAAGGCTAGTAAGCCTTAAAAGCGAGAGTATCCTGATAGAGATGGTGGGTGAACAGAGCGCTTCGCGACTTATTTATCAACGACCAAAAATGAGGAATCATTGAGGTAAACACTTGTACAGTAGTGCCGATGATTGTGTTACGAGTGCTTCATCTTCAGACCAAGTTATTACCACAGAGTTGCAATACAAAATCGGCTTGGCTTACACACGTTGGCTGCAAATAATTCCATGAGCTTTGTAAAGTCGTGATCGAGTTCATACCTGCAGTGATCGAGTTCATACCTGCAGTGATCGGCTTTGTGTCTGTTTTTGTTGAACATTTATCAGAAAATCTGCGACGTCATTGCTGAAAGTTGTTTAATGGTTGCGATTCTTGAGGTGGGACATCCTGTGCTGAAGACCGCGCAACGTCTTCACGTCTTCATTGCAACTGCTTCATTGCTAGTTCTAATGGCCGCAGTGTTTCTCATCGAACTCGAAACTTGGATGCAAACTCATAACCTCATACCTCGCCCGGTTGTTATTACCACGCTGCGAGATGTGGAAATGATGATTCCTGTGCTTATCCGATACCAACGGCTCTTGTTTACTGCAAATATTGTGCCCGACACAAGTGTACTTCTGACGAAATGTTTCTGCTGTCAGGTTTTGAGTGACTCAAGTGCAAGCTGGACTTCTCCATTTGCCTTCTTTACAAGTTTGTTTTCGTCTGCAACGAGCCAGAGTACAACGACCAAATGTTTTCTAGCTTCCGTGAACTCGCTAAGCAAGCGATGAATTGGCAGTATCAACTTGATCTCTATGGCAAGAAGAACGACAGAGAAAACAACTTCAATATGATTAGCGCTGATGTATGATATAATGCTATATAAGTTGTTATACATTTACCTTCCTTGCTACATGAGCAGTGGCTGAGCAGCCTCACGCTTCAGACGCTGAACAGTCTCTAAGAGCCACGCAAAGTTGTGTTGCTGCGCGATACGCATCAGCAGACGTAGCGTCTCCATCAGCGATTCATGCACCCCAGGCATCAACGCATACGTGCCTGAGCATGGGCAATACTCACGCATTTTGTGCTCAGCTGGCAAGTGACACTTGCGGCAATACAAATCCTGCAGTTGATACGCCACCGACTGCGCCTGTGTCATCTCCACGAGTCGCATTTCAAATGCGGTCATGTCGTACAACGCGAAACATCGAGGGCAGTGCCAAGCGGACGAAGCCTCCGCATCCTCTCCATGTTCTTCACCTTGGACATCGTCATCTGAGCGCGACGCACTACCCTTAAAGAGCTGAGGGTCGCGGCACAAATCAATGGACCGACACAAGTTGCACGAGAGACAGATGACATCTTGTACTGTAAATGACAGTGACGGGTTGCGAAACTGCGTCTCATCAACAAATTCGCTCATGCGCAGCAACTTCAGCAGAGTGCGTCTCATCTTGCCAACTTGGGTCTCTACGCTCGGCTCCAGCAAAAAAACTGAAGTAACAAATTTTACTAGCTCCAACGCGGGTGATTCCATGACAAGATGCGATCCAGCAAACACGGGAAAGCTGTCTCGGTCCATGTTGTACGTTAATATTTCCGGAACCAAACGCAGCAGTTTCTCCGAGAAATACGACGACACAAGTCGTTGTGAGTACTTGGCGAGTGGGGACAATTGCTTCTCATCTTCATCTAGAGGCTGCTCGCCTGCGTCTTCAGCAGCGTCAGGCTTCAAATCACCACCTCTTGCATGTCGTCTACTACGCTCACGGTGCTGAAAATCTGCTCGCCGACGGATGAATTGACCCACCAAGATAAGAAAGTATTCGTCAACTCCGCGGGGCAAGTAATTCGCAATGTTCCAATGAGACACAATCTCCAGAGGCTTCTCGTCACTGCCATCCACATTGTGGTCATTCTCTCCCTCTTGGTCTTCCTCTTGGCCCCCCGCTGGCACCACGTTCTTTAACAAAATGCACCCGTAGTTTTCCGCGTCCAAAAACAGTAGATTCGAGAAATACTTCTTTGGAGTAAAGTTGAGCACCTGGAAAAGTTCGTTGGACAGAACAGTTTGTAGGATAAAGTTGAGATAGGTCTGCGCGTCACGTACTGACTTCTTATTTGTGCACACAATGATTTTGCTGAAGTCAGCGTACACGATCTGAGACCCTAAGCGACGAAGCTCTGCAAGAAGTTGCAAAAACAATTTTTCCATCAGTCGCTTTACCATTGCTTGCAGCGCCGGGTCAAAGCTCAGCGAATTTGGTGAACATAGCCAGCGGTAGAACTGCTGCAGCATGTGATCAGCGAACTTGTTACGGCTGGTCAGAAAATCCTTAAAGAGTGTCGTCACCATAATACGGAGCAACCGGAACGCTTCATGGCAGCTCTCCTCGGCATCACCTTCCGATACTCCAGAGGTGGGGCCTACTCCCTTACTAGACTCTCTTTCACCGTTACCGTCAAAATCGATCTCCATCTGGTGCGCAACTCCTAGGCCTTCGATACTGTGGATCTGAGACGCAACGAGAATTGCATTAATAGCAAGACCATCTAGCTCGAGCTCTACGCATACATCGACGAATGATCCCTTCTTACACACGACAACAGATGTGTCGATCCGGTGTTGTAAAGCTGTATCGCTCTTCTTTAGCGGTGACTGCTGTGCCGATCCGAGCAGCGATTGACTAAAAAGCTGCTGGAACTGCTGTTCCTGCTCCTTCCCACCAAGATCCGGCAGGGACGTTGGCGAATGCCACCATAAATGTTTGTGTTTTGTCAAGATACGTGAATACAGAGTGTCCAGAATAGCAAGTGAGTGATCTCCCGTGAAGTTGCCAACAGGCAAGTGTGCGTACCGTGCACAGTCAAGCACATCCGAGTAGTACTGTATCATTTCAAAGCACCGGGTAAGCATCTTTTCTCCCATTAGCTTGCGCCATGTGAGAGCTGGAAATAAAGTGTCTTCTTCGTTCCACGGTAGCATGGCAACGGGAAAACTATACAGACCCTGTATTTTCTCGCGAAGTCGTTTGCTGGATGGAACACATGTCTGTGCGACTACGATCGTCGGTTTAGGGGTGAGCTGCTTGTTCGAGGCTAACCGCGCTAGGGTGGCATTCACGCCTGAAAAGGCTTCCTGCGCCGTCTTCACAACATGCGTCTTAAAAGAGCAGCTTTGAATGGGGGCAATGCCACCTTCTTCTTGGGACTCTTGAAGCAACTGTTCGAAGAAAACTTTCAAATCTGAGCCTCGAGACTTGACGTTGGAGATTGGGTCGACGTACCAGACGTTCACATCACCCTCGCTGACAGCATTACCTAAGGTCGCTGCTGTGATGTCATCATCGCCCTCTTTCAGCACGACCAAACCCAATACGGCGCGTTTCTTCTGCTGAGCGAAGTAAAGCAGCACTCGTCGCATCAACGAGGATGGCGGCGGTGATGCAACTCCATTTGCAGCAATTGAACGACGATGATCCAGGAGATACGGGGCCTGCGCCGTAGATTGAAACTGCAGATCACTCAACTCGTATTCTTGGTTGGTAACAGAAATATGCGGGTTGACAACTTTGGCCACGCAGCCTAGTGCACAAACGGCCCGTGTTAAGGCCGACACTTGCAGCTCGTACACACCACGCACACACGGATCGCCAAGGATCTGGCTAATTTCCTTCTGATACTCTTGGTACTGCCGCTCGCTAAGCATTACCTCTAACACCGATTGCGGCTTCGACGAATAGTGAGGTACGATCCGAGATACACGTCGTGAGCCTGGCAGCAAGGACAACAAATTTTCGTGATCCGCTTCCTCGCATGTAATATAGAAGACGCGAGGCAATTTCAGCGTAATGCGCTGAAGCATCTGTGAGTGAGCAGTAAGAATCCAACAAGTGAATCTTCCGCCTTGCTCTTGCTGAATTTCCACAATCTGCCAATATTCCCGCTGCATTGCACTCCCTGCGTCAAACACGAAATTTTCCATACCAACACCTTTGCCCTTTGCTTCGAGTGCACTAGTATGACCACTCTGAAAACGCTTTGTACTACCGTGTGCACTGTTTGCCATGCCAAAACCATCAGCACCGCTGAAGCTCCGCAAGCGGTCATCCTTTTCGCTTCTTCGCTTTCCAAGCATTGTTTTCCACTTCTTCTTCCTTTGTTTCAGCCAATTAGTAAATGGCACTTCTCCGAGCTTTACTGTCACCGCAGGAACATCTTCCGCATCATCATCGTCAGTTGGACTATTGCTGCTACTGCCACCGTCACTTGCTTTCTTAGGTCGCTTTCGCGGAATAGGCTTTTCTGGTCGCAAAGACTGATTTCCTTTCATCAAATCCTCCATGTCAATCAGCTGAGCAACGTAATCTTCATTGTCAGTGCGCTTCGTTGTAGTCTTAAAGAACTGCTTCATATTGCCTTGCTGATGCGTGGCATTCTTCTCGCGTACTTGTTTCCTCATCCAGTCTGGCAGCTCGATGCGAGGCACGGGGTTCCTCACATTCTGAAAAGCAGCTGGAAGCGAAATAATCTTCTGTACCGTCGACGCAAAACGCGTGCGGTAGTAATCCCAGTCAAGAAGTGACCGAATGTCAAAATCCTGAAGGTGCGGGTCCTTCATCCATTTCTTCAGGAAATGTCGTTTGATAGCGTCTTCCGTTGCAAAGATAGCAGTGGGAATAGCCCGCTCCGTCACCTTTTCACCATAAGGACGTGCAGCAATAATCATTTTACAGGTCAGACCCTTGTCCTTGATCATTTCTTCACCGAGAAATTCACCCAACCGCCGGGCTGTAGTGATAGATGTAGATTTCTGTCCTTCGTACTCATCCAACTTGCCGGACATGCTTTTGTTCTCCGTGATCAACGCCATCAACTCTTCGTCATTCATCGACTTGCCTCGAGTATCAATCACATCAAGCCAACGATTTGCACATTTGGCAACGGAGGCGTAACACTCTTCCAGGCTGTCGCCGTCAAGAAAACACTCAAACACCTGAGACTGAAATGCCTTGATCAACTGTAGCTCACCACGTCGCTTGAGTTCAAACCCTTTCAGTTCAGCAAGCGAATGGTCAAAGTTAAATACTGCATAACGCTTTTTCAATAGCTTTCCCTCTTCCGTAGAAGCAGGAAGAACCATCGCCTTGTACGGGCCATCCACTTCGAACATAATTGAGCACTCCTTGTGTGAGTTGTACTTTCCTGTAACTGGGTCAAGCTCGTGATACTGCGGGTTCGTGAATTTGGCGTTCACATCTGCATTCAGCATCACACACGGGTACGAAATGCTCCTGGAACCACCATCCTTAAGCTTAAATGAGAAGGTTTCAGGGAACGATTTAGGAAGGATCGCCCAAATACCGTCGGTATCCAGCTCTAGTGGTCGTCCAATTTGCTCCACCAGCTCACGAGCACCCGTGATGATGTTAGAACCTGTATGCGTCACGATACCGGCCATCTCCATTGAGTGCCATCGTGCACCCTTGCGCATGACATAACCGTAGAAAGAGTTCAAAATACACTTGTGTGCAAGCTGAAGGGAATCGTACACAAGACACTTATTTTGAGCATCAATCTTCGCCAAGAGGTCCTTCGCGTCGGCGGCTTCAGATACCTTTTTCTTCCAAACCTTCGTGAGGCCCTTGTAATCGTAGCGACGGTCTCGAAATGCACGCACAGTGTTGACGTAGAATGGGTTTTCACGCATGCAGACTGTTGCAGACCGTTGTTGCTCTTCTGTCACCTTTGTTTTCTTGTACACACTAGAACAGTAGGACTTGAATCGCTGTTTGAGGAGTTGCTCTTGCTTCTCAACAGGAAGTTGAGCAAATGGCACGGTAGATCCGGCACCGTTGATCCTCTTAGCTGGGTCGCTATTGGTCGAACCTCCCTTGTTTTCAAGCAAAAAGTTTTCGTATTCAATCTGTGTCTTGATCGAATAGTACTCTGGTCGTGTGGCAGGATAAAAATCACCGCGCCAAACCCAGTCCATTTCACGCTGACAAGATGCGTCTTTCTCCTCGATGGCTGCTCGGCCGCACTCAGTATTAAACGTACACGCAGCGCAGTCCGCCTCATTTACGATTGCGCACGGTTGCAACCGGTTCGTAAGAATGATGTTTGGGTACATGGCTGCTACATCCAAATGATAGATCAGCGGCTGTTCCTTTCGGCTTGGTCGCTCGCGTAGTGCAACAAGGCGGTCCACAATATCCTTTCTTACCTCTTCATAATTGGTGACAAGCTCAAGTGGGACATTCATTTCAACCTCCAACGAGAACCGGAGATCTCGGTCAATATTGTCGATCAACTGCTGGAATGCGGCTGGTACCAGTTGGAAGTCGTACGAGAAATCTGCACGGAAAACACCCGATTCTAAACACTCTACATGGCCACCGACGTACGTTTCGTTTTCGACAAGGTGCCCTTTGTAAAAAATTTCATCTCGGCTCGAGCTTTGCTTGTTAGGGCAAATAATGTTGCCTTTAAAAGCCTCAACCATAAGCAAAGCTTCGCAGAGTGTTCCGGAACCTTTTCGAAGCACGTCTTCGGATCCTAAAGGAATGATCGTGCACAACGAGAACACGAACAGATGCACATACTTATCGTAAAGATAAAATGTTGCCACAGCATCGGAAACCGAATACGATGCCATCTTCAATGGTTCATCACGTGCCAATGCAACCATATCTTCTGGATCGACTTCAACTGGATCATACCCCAACTTGTACTTTGTAACAGCTTTCAAGCCCTGACTTCCCTGCGGCAGATAAGAGTCGCGTTTCACCCAGCAGAACGCATCCATGTGCACACTGCAACGTCCACGGTACTCTCCGGTCCGCTCGTCTAGAGAAACACCAATTTCGCGCGCCATGTTAATGCCGTAAACTTGTGCACGTGTCTCAATAAATGGCCAATCAAAGAAGTCACCATTATAAGTCACGAAAATGTGCGGTTGCTCTTCAATCACATGTTCAAAGAACCGTTTCAGTAGCTTTTCTTCGTTCTCTTCATTAAACACTATGAAAGGTCCAGGATAAGCCACTTTGGGCGTATACTCGAAATCCTGAATATCCTCCGACACAAAGTCTCGATTCACAATCAGATATCCTTGTTTGTCAATCATATATGAGATCATATAGATCTGATCCACCTGTGCATCTGGAAACTTTAATGGCGCTTTTGTGCACTCGATATCAAAAGCACACACCACTGGTTCCGCTTTATCCACCATATCCTTCTGTCGTTTTACATCTGACGGTGAATATGGTGCTGTTGGATTATAATCCACGAGATACCACGCACCGACTCGAATATCCAAATCAATAGCTACTCGCATAGGATACGAGACATCATACTCTCTTAACTCAAGCAATGACGTTTCACTCTCATCGGTCATAGCACCGTTAATCGTATCTCCATCAGCTCCAAAACTCAAGTCATTCTCTGTTACTTTTTCTCTCGATTGTCCTTGAATCTCATAAGCTTGTCTTACTTGTAATCTCTCTTGATTCTTCGCAATAAGTGGTGCTAATTCTCTCTTGACCATCATTAAATCTGTCACTGTAGCAAAACTTAGTTTCACATACAGTGCTTTCTTTCCGTTTAAATGATCAGCAAAGTCTAAATCTTCTCGAAACAGACGCTCCGTCTTGGTCACAAGTCCTTCAAATCTTCTAAGACAATAGGCAATCACTTCCTGTGACCGATTCGCTTCAGGTCTTATATAAAAATAAGGCTGATAGATAACTCTCGTCTTAAATGCTTTGCCATCTTGCTCGAGAAAGTACAATTCCAAGCCGCTTACTTCGTTCTTGCCTTCGATTGGATCAGGCAGCATACAAGCACGCAGGTTTAACAACCAGCCAAGTTTTGCACGGTCTTCTGTGTCCATAGCAGTCGTTGTTTGCTCCTTCCGTGTCTCTTCTTCTTGTTCTAGCAACTCTGGAAGCAAATAATAGCCAAACTTGCGGTCCAATTCGTCACCTTTTTTAAGTGCATACGCCTTGGACTCTGTCATACCACGACCAGGACGCAATCGTGCTGCATTTGCACGTGCACCCTGAGAATTACGAGCCCATGCAGATCCATTTCCATGACTGTAGGGGTTACGGAAGTTTCCCTTGCCATGTTGCCCTTTTGCCACCATCAGTGCGGAATGAAGGGTTGGGGGTTTACCCGCATGGTTTCCCGCGCTTTTATTAAGTATGTGAGAATTAATAACCTGTACTTTCGTATATTTGGTTAATTTCATGTTTTTCACTCACTACTTTTTGAGATAAACCTCCATGGAAAAATATTCTTTAGTCTTATAAATTCCTCCATCGAGTTACTTCACGGCTTTAGCACGCGTTACTTGGCAACCTTGAGCTTCTTAGATGGCTCCTCCATAGTCTCAAAATACTTGAGCGAGTCTTTGGAGTTAGCAGTCATGGTCTGGCCACCCTTTTTCCAGTTAGCGGGGCAGACGTCGCCGTGCTCTTCGTGGAACTGAAAGGCATCGATAAGACGCAAAACCTCGTCCACGTTGCGGCCAATGGGCAGATCATTGATAGTAATTTGACGCAAAATTCCTTCCTTATCAATGATAAAGAGACCACGGAAAGCCACCCCCACCTCGTCACCATCTTCGACCGTGACCTGGTACTTGGTACACAAATCTTTGGTCACATCAGCCACGAGCGGGATATTCATCTCACCCAGTCCACCCTTCTTACGAGGTGTGTTGATCCACGCCAAATGAGAGAATTTAGAGTCGGTCGAAGCGCCAAGCACCTGCGTATTGAGCTTCTCAAAGTCTTCTACGCGATCGCTAAAGGCGCAGATTTCGGTCGGACAAACGAAAGTAAAATCCATGGGGTAGAAGAAGAGTACCACATACTTGCCTCTGTAGTCCGACAATGAGATTTTCTTGAACTCTCCGTCTATAACAGCATCAGCTGTGAAGTCTGGGGCAGGCTTACGAATCGTAAGGACCATGGGATGACACTTAAGGAATACTTTAGGTGGTACGACGAAAATTACAAACTGGTGGAAATTCCAATTTACGCAATTGACAAATTCGGTAGCGAATTTAGGAGGGAATATTTGTCCGAACTCGAATTGTCTCTTTCTGTATTCAAGTTGCGTAACTATTGGGTATAAATAAGGTACGAAAGAAAGTGAACCTTATTATTGAGAGTGAAGAAGAAGTCGTCGGAGCAGCATGTCGTTCAGCAGTTTCTACTCGGTGGTAAACGCCATTAAGGACAAGTCAGCAGAGGCCATGACGATATTAAGCTCAGATCTACAGGATTTTAAATCTGTCGTTCAGGAGGACGTGGCGGAGCTGTCTAAGAATGTACGACAGAACATACAAGACGGTCGACTCAGTGTGGAACGAAAGGAATCAGATCAAGAAGACGAGAAAATGCAGAATCAGAATCAAGACCTAGATTGGGACCAACACTCCAATCAGGAGGTCTGTAATTTATCTACGCATTCTGCAATGGAAGACAAGCAGGATCAGAATCAGGACTCGTTGACGTCTCTCAAGAATTCGCTCTTTTCTTTGGATATGGGCAGCACGTTGGAATCGCTTAATTCAGTAGGCAGCTCAATGCAGGGATCACTGAACATAGTACAAGATTCGCTTACCTCAGTAGGTAGTAAATTGACGTCACTGAACGTTGGTAATAGCTTGGAATCGCTGGAAGTCATGGGGTCCAAGCTGCTGAATTCAGCCGACGAATTTCTTGGTACATTGACTGGAGATACAGTCTATGAAGACGAGGAAAAACTGAGTGAAAGTGAGTTAAGTGCCAGGAGATTCAGGGTCTTGGCACTTCAAGAAGACTCGGAGACGTACATTGAGCCACCGCTTGATGTCGAGACATTCGAGAAGTGGAAACTCGTGACTTCCACGGAGGAGCTAGCGGAGATTAAAAAGGAGGTGCTTGAGAATTATCCGACGGTAGGTTGTAAATTTAAGGAGCTGGTGCCGTCCGTGGTTGGGGCAGATGTATTCTGGGCGCATTACATTTACAAGGCGTCACTGTTGGCTGCCCAGGAACAACGCGGAGCAGATCTGCTGGAACATGGTGCGTTTGACATGAAACAGGACGTTTTGAGGCTTAGACTGATTTTATTGACTTGTTGCTAGCTTTGAACGATGATGAAGAAGAGATCGACTGGGATGCCGACTCGCCGAATGCCACGGACGACGACGGTAAGCCGATTTTCCCCGATGATGAGTGTAAGGAGGAGGAGAAGGTGCCGGTGACTGCGGTCACAAACGCCCCGACCTCGTCAAGTGATGGTGAGAGCTGGATTGAGCTAGACGAGCGGAAGGAGTCGACATCGTCTGGTGCCTCGTCGAGCATCAAAGAACCGAACAGTGCCCTGGCTGACTTAACACTTAATGAGGGGGACGAGGCGGCCGGAGAAGGCTCGCTTGATTGGGGTGATGACGATGATCTTTTAGTGCCAGAGGAGACAACTGCAGCCGTAGTGGATGCCAAGGTTTCTAAGACGACCCCAATTTTGCACGAAGACAGCAGCAAGCGTGGAGAAGATTGGGGTGAATGGGACTGATTTGAGCTGCGGACGAGACTGACGCTCGCACGTGCTACATTCGATCGTTTCAGCTTTCCTGCAGCATGCGTGTGATCATCGAGCCTGATAAATGTTTATTTGATTGCGTTTTTACTGCTGCTGACTGCTGATGTGTTAGTAAATTTTGAGCTCTTTCTTACGCGCTAACGATTAACTGACAGACTGTATGGACTGCTCATCATGTAATGCACTGTTCTACAACCAAGACAACTAGCACTCAATTGTAAGGATACTGCCGCCCAAAAGATTAACAAGAAATATTTTCAATTTCTTTAGATCGCTATAGTGTCTTACCGAGGTCGACATATACCTTGAATGCTTGCATTAGCAGGAATCGGTAAGCAACGTTGACAATGACTTAGATAAGTCGCTTGCTACATGGTTGGCTCATAAATTCATATGTCAGCTCCAAAGTACATGTATAACTTCACCGTATCGTTGGCCCGACCGCATGATTCGTTTAAGTCGTACCTTGACAATTGGTGTCTTCACTGCATCGTACTTGGCATTTTAGATTGCATAGAGCAGCTCAAGTCCCACATAGCACCATCAGCATCTCGGATCCGTTAGTGGTGTCGACACAACGCGTAACTTGCAACTTGCGCACCTTCACGAACTTAAATCAAGAAGGCACGTCAATCATGTAGCAGCACCAAGTACGTTCGTAAAGACCAACTTACAACGCCAGCGTAACCACAAAAACACTACCAGGAGCGGACAACAAAGACGCCACCGATCGTTGCCACTAATCGTTGCGGTACTTAGCCTGTGGCTGTCTAAGAAAGAAGGCTATCGAGAAAAAATACGCGGGCCGATTTACGCGCCAGCTTATCGTTTCTTTAATTTCGCATGTGCCGAACAAGAGGTGATGATGGCTCAGATCATCGACTTGAGCATCACATATCTAGCAAGTTTGTTGCTCAATTTCAGCGCCCACAGACCATTATGCATAAATCGTTCGAGACGACACGTTTGCCGATCTACACTTCAGACAAAGAGAATTGCTTCAATCGTGCGAGGCTGCTGCAGCTACAGTAGGCCAATCTTGATGTCGTAATGATAAGCAGGAAATTTCCAAACGCAAAGTGAGCGGTGCCGTTCTCTGTCTTTCAAGAAGCTGTCACTTTAAACGACGCCATTCCCAGCCAAAATCATTTCACAGCTGCCTCACAAGTTGGAGCAAACAACCGTAGTTCACTTGCCATTTCTCGAGGTGTATTTGCGTCGACTTGCGTCGACCTGTCAAGAATCCTGTGCTCGGCTCCGAGCATAATGTGAAAGTTCCAGTCTGGACGGCTGCACCATTCGAGTGCCTTGATGTCAAAAGAGATCTAATGAGTCAAGCGATCCAGTTTTTAGCTGTAAAAGAAGAAACGGCCGCATCGAATGAGTGCCACACAGAATGTTCAATAGAACGTCGCATGTCTCAACGATAAACGTAAAAAAGTGAACTCGTCCAAGATCCCGGTCTTCGAGAGATTTCCTGTTTAGTATTGTAGCGAAAGGACGTGGCATCGATTATACGAGTGACGCCTTTCAGCGCAATGACGACCCGCAATTGTCCACCGATCGTTTGCTATCAGATCAATTTGCGTGTAAGTGCCGAGAACAGGCTGGCGGAGATACCCTAATACTCGATACTTGATCTTGATCTTGATGATACGGCTGCACTGAGCTGCCTTGACTGAGCATTGAAAGCGAACCGATGATCGTCGCAACGACATCCATGGTCACACTTTACGACTACCCAGCACCGCTTATGTGGTTGCTTTCCATAGGCAGAAAGACAACTCCGACTTGTAGCTGACCTTTTGGTCCATCAATACATTATTGTCCCTAGTAGACTCTGCTCGTGCACTCTACAGCTCGTCAAATAATGAGCGGACACCCGATGGAGTTGACCGGACTTGGCAGCAACTATGTCTTTTAGCCTGTGAAGGCATGTTCAGCTTTGCAGCGCAATTAGCGACTAGTTTGTGCGATTTCCAACGCCGTCTCCAGGTTGCAAATTCATGGCAGCAAGCTTCTGCAAACCGTTTGTCTTCCATAGCCACGTATCTCGCTAATGGTGCACAGATTTCATGTTGAAGCGTTTCAAAGCAATTCTTGTAGCCACCATCGATGAGATACAAATCCGGGTAATAAAGCTCGGGATAACAGTGAGCATTTAATCTACGATCTAGATTCCGCACATGACGAAGCATTTTAGGGGCACGATTCGCCGAGAACTCACAGAAAAAAATCAACGCTGTACGTGTGCGTCTCTTCATGGCCGTCGACATGAACAACTGCATCTCCATTGTTTCCGGATCACACGATAAGCTCGCACCTGTTAAACTCCCTCCTTGAAACTCATAGGGAAATCGACAGTCCAAGAGCTTATGCTGCACTAATTTGTTTTTATAGTCACCTCTTAAAACTTCAGCCACAGTCTCTGGAGTAATCACATTAAGGTCCGGATGCTTGCTGGAATAGACTGTCGGTAAAAGAGGTTCCAAAGATGATGGACTTACATCTTTGAAATCACTTATGGACAATTTTGACGTATGGCAATGGAGCAATTTTGGTGATATACCCATTGAAAAAGGTGACAAGTGTCCTAAAGTGAGCACCTTTTGACTTGACATGGCCCGTCTGAGCACTCTCTTGTCGCCTGCATCGTTATTTTTTACCACTCGAATTTTTGACGTTTTTTCACCTGTCTTTACCTTCTTTTTGACAAACTGTTGCTGACTCAGAACTGATGCTGGAGACAACTCGACTTCAGTGTCGTCAAATAGTAGGGCAGCTACCCGCTTCCGATCTTGACCAGAGCAAGGTCGTTCACTATCTGATAACGTCTCTTTCAGTTGCTGCAAGTCATTTAAAGTTGCCTGTGCATTTTGTGGCATTTTGACATCTTCTTCATCTTTGACGTCAAAAATAGCTCGGGGTGTTCTACTTCCATTTGAACGTCGACACCTCACAAAGCCTTTTACTGGTTTCTCAGTGTGTTGTGCTATGTTGGTCCTAGTGTGGTGGAGACACGGAGGTGTGGTCGGCTGCAGCTGGCTGGACAGTGATGCCATTAGACAGGAGCGGCTCTCCTTAGCCATGGTCAAAAACTAATGAGAATGAACCCAGCACGATACCGACACGTACCGGTTCTTGCAACCTTTTTTGACCAATATAAGACATTATTTGGCATTTTTAGCCATTTTTAGACATTTTAAAGGTTTCACGACCAAATGGGGTCCTTTTTTGAGCTAATGTCTGTCACACAAAATGCTCGTAGACTAAATTGCCCTGAGCGAAAATTTGCTTTAGGAAAAGTTCACAATAAATAACGCTTCAATAATGACTCGACCATCACTCTAAGTTGAAGTGCGACATGTGGTAAAAAATCCGCACTTGACTTCATTCCGCAATTTACCACAAAAGAGTCACAACTATGAACTGGATGACGAGTGGAAGACACCGTGCATTGTATTCGCAGCGCGGACGACGTCGTCAGATGCACTTTCCATCTCAAGTTCAGTGCCAGCGCGTAAAGGCTACGAGCCCGCCTCGAAGCTCCCACTCAGCAAGAGCACATGACTCGGCAACGCCGTGGTACATTGTTCCAGTCGGAGACGACAACGAGTCTCAAGGTCGAGAATAAGCATGTAATTGAGCTTTCTTTACTCACTAGAATGACAACGCTGGCTGTAACGTACAGATATTCGTGTGCTGGAGCTGGAGCGGAAGGGAGCGATGAGTAACATGGACGGGATGGCCCAAGGCAAAGCTAGGGAGGGGGTGGAGCTTGTCACTACTGAATGTATTATTGATGGTGGAGCACGATTGAGCCCGAGCTATGGACAAAAGAGACAAGTTATTCCAGGCGAAAGAAATGAAAACAGGTGTATTTTTACTCCTGTGAAAAAGGCTAGAAAGTATGAGCAGCCGCTGGATTCTGTTCAACAACTGCGAGGTGCTCGTGGAGAACGACCTACATCATCAATTGCCTCTGATGTCGACACACACTTTTTTAAGTGAGTAGATTGTGGGAAAAGGTTTACCATAGACTGACAAAGCTGGTTGGTGATCATCACACATTCACAGTGACAATAAAGAGCTGCCACATAAGACGAGAGCTCAATATACATCAAGATCATATTCTGACCCAGCTCCGTCAGAAATACGCAAAAGATCGTTTTCGCAGCAGTTCAATGGAAATAGAAGTTGTGACCGCCTCGGAGGCGTGCAACAGGTACACTTGTCTACTGTCTGGGTAGTTGAATTTGTAGCTGACAGTGATGTTTGGCTACGGTGTACGCAGCTGCAGCTTCAACAAAGTGTTTATGACAAAAACTTTGACAAAGGAGTCTTCGCCAGTGGAGAATGTAATGACGAGCAGCAGTTAAGTCACGGCATACATGACCAGCAAACATTTTCTGACGCGAGTGAGACAAATCAGCGAGACTTTCAACGATGGAAGGTTAATTCCGGTTCGTATGCCGGCTTTAATCCAGACGTGGTGAGAACGATTTCAAAAATTTGCGTCATAACCGTAAGATATGACATTGTTGTTGGGTTCCGTTGTAGCCATTTGATCATCCAGAAAATGCCTCATTCCGGAACATCAACGACCCGTAAGACCCTAAAACGACTGATTAAGGGCAAGCTGAGGCCTAACGCTTTCTGTACGACTATCTGAAGCAGTCGTAAAAAGGTGCATGGCACACCACCATCAAGTCCAGCCGACGCCTCACCGTTATCGTTTAGAATGAGCCGAGCAGAAGGTTTGTGCTTCTATCTGCGAGGTCATCGTTTGGGCTTATGCACGTTTCGTATTCTCCAGTGCTGCAGTCTCAACTCTCTAGCAATGTTCATGATGCGGTAAAGTTCTTCCTGTATACAAGCCACTGCATCGACTAGGCTAATTCCTGTCGTTCGGCTAGAATCGCCATCCGGTCGAACATCGGATGAGCTACACACCGATTCAGTCGCCATCTCCATCAACATCGACATCATCGCAGTGCAGCATTGTGCTTGGCCGCCCTCCACTTGGATGGCAAAAGAAGTTGATGCTGTCACTGGGAGATGATACCATCGACCAACCTGAGACTCGTTTCGGTAGTTTTGCTCCATCTTCTGAGGAGACAAGCCCCTTATCTTCTACAAATGATGTTACTGCCAACCGGAAGAATCGTGAGTGCTTGGCAAGTTGTTCTTGATTCTCTGGTGTTGTGGGTTAATTGATTGGCATTGCACTTCATTTCCATGCTGCTTACAATCCAGACGGCCCGCATAGATTTGCGTTAGAATCATCGCCTTCACCAACAAGAAGCGACAGCGAAAACTCGCTCTTGAACGCAGTAGTCCCGGCCAATGCGAAAGAGCACATAATGGCGGCTGCAACTTCGCAACAACTTCCCACAGATTCAAGAATGTGGTTCCAGCGACCAACTGCCATGACCAGTACGGCATCCATCGTGGCGAACGTTTCTCGTGATTGGCTTTAACACTTTTGAACTATGTCCTGCTGTCAGAGCTCGGCGAAACGAATGGCGCAGACGCAGCTTTTAGCGGGAAAAGCACGGCATTACAGCAGTCATGGGTTATGTCATCACGGACGAAGACCATCCTGGACACGGTGTCCTCGTCGAAGGATCCATCTGCGGAAAACGCAGCTGAGAAGCCTAAGACCAAGTATCAGGAAATGGAAAGCGTCGCAGTCTATATGTACACTCTGGTGCAGTGCTACAAGATCGACGAAAGCCTTCGGTGAGTGTGTGCTCACTGTCACGTGACTTTTACAATACCATACTCATGTTGTTGTTGTGATGCAGTGATGACAGACACAATTCGCCAATAGCTGCGCAAACTCAACTGGTACGCGAAGCTTCTTCACCGCCCGCTGCCACTGCATTGGCAAACCAAACTGCCTGTCGACGAGAAATCATCTTCTCACCAAAGCATGCGAGTTAGCAACCCAGGCTAGCAGCCAAGTCAAGCCTATTCCGAGTAGGCCTTAGCTAGCGCTTTCTTGTTCACCTTTCCCATTGCATTTTTAGGAACCTCATGGACGAAGAAGTACTTGCGGTACGCGGTAGCTTGCGAGGTGTTTTTTTACAAATTCCACAAGAGGCGGAGACAAAGCCTCTGGAGTAATCTTTTCACCTTCGATCCCCGAGCAAATTATAGCTGCTACAATTTGCCCCCATGTTTCATCAGGCAACCCGATGACAACGCACTCGAGAACCTGTGGATGAGCCAACAGCACACGCTCGACGTCCAGAGCGGATACTTTGTAACCTGCGGTTTTGAGGATGTCAGCACTCGCCCGCCCACGAAAGCGAAAGCTCTTAAACTCATTGTTGTATTGCTTGATATCACCGACCCCGACAAACTAACTTAGTAAGCTAACGTAGTTACGACGAAGACTCATTATTACTCTTAGATTCTCCATCAAGCGTTGCACCAAGCGTTGCGTCAAGACACAAAAATGTTACATGAATGGCGAGCTTCTTGTTACCACGTCCTGGCGGTGATTGCCGAGTGACAGGCCGACGCAAAAGCTGCACTTGTACTTCTGACGTAGCATTAGCATGACACTGCAAGTAGCCCACACCCATACAAGGTGTTGTAAATGCTGCACCTAGCTGAACACTTCGTGATGTCTTGCCGTCTTTGTTCTCAAGTGGCGTACATACAAGGGCCAGTACCCCACCTTCGATCCCAACCCCTCCATTGCCGCGACTTGAGTCGACAAACACTTTTCGGAATTCTCGCTCCAAATCGGTCGACTTGGATAATCTCCGACATAAAGCACTTACAAAGTTACTTCGAATGAAATGTTCTCCTCGGCCAGTACATGCCACAGCAAAAGCATTTCTCACTTTTCTTTGCTCACTTCTATTCCTTTTGCGTTTGTGAGTCACATTCACTACGGCATTTGCGGCGTCGCAGCCCATTCGAGGACATCCTGCAAGCCCTATACGACCGGGCACCTTGTACGCCACACCACCACTCGACAATGCCGCCGCTACATTCCCCATCGGATCCATGCAAACAGCCCCAACAGTGTCTAATTGTTCCTCTTCCTCTTCTTTAGTCTTTGTCTTTATTGCCTCTTGGAATCGTCGATGCCACTTGTCCCAATGCTCTTGAGCCTTCATTGTCACTTGATATTTCCGACTCTTTTCAGCATCTTTATTCGCTGTTTCTAGTCCAAAATCTTGTGCTAATTGTCGAGCATGTTCTCCTGCAACCACCAGTGGAGGCTGACGACCAAATGCAAATATCCCGCTCGAATCACTGCCGTCCGTCTTCTCGGCCTGCTCCAATAATTTCAACGCCAATGCACTAGGCTCCTTCACTCCACTGACAGCTCCACAACAACTTACCAAGTGTGTTCGGCCACATACGACACTGGCCTCGCACTCAACACGCCCTTCTTCAGTCAAATTTGAACCACGTCCAGCATTCGTCAAACTGTTGTGCTCGAAAGATTGCAACAAATACACGGCAAGTTGCGAAGCTGTAGGCGGACAACGGGAATGTGTAATTACCTGCTGAGCTCTTTCAAGAGCTGATCGAATCAACGACAGGTACGCAGCTTCATTAGAGGAGCCATAATGCCCAGCACCCGAGTGCACCGCTAGTAGCCAATCGCCCATAATAGAAAAGAGTACCTAAATTAATTAGCACGACTCAAAATTTGGGTAATCATATGTATATATTTCGAAATCCATCACCTTGTACAAGTTGACACACTCAGTACTTCTTATATTGGTTAAGAAACATACTCATATATAATGGACCATCGTGTCCCACATCTCTTTGAGAAACTGCTAGAACATCAGCTGTCTGTGGCTGTAGTCTCCTCAAATGATCATAATGTGAAAGAATGGACGTATGCGACATTACTACATGACGCATTTGCTCTACGTGACGAGCTCTTGCGTAAATTACCGAAAAATAAAAAACAACCTCGTGTAATTTATCTTGGAGCTCGTGGACCGTCGTATTTGATTATTCAATGGGCTATTTGGTTAGCGGGAGGTATTGCAATTCCTTTACATCCATCACATCCAGTGGAGGAGATGAATCATGTTGTTTTGGACTCTGGAGCAGCTCTAGTAATTGTAAACGAGTCATTTATGACACACGAAAAGAATGTGATGGAATTTATGACAGAGATACAAAAAGAAGAAGAAGAAGAAGAAGAAGAAGAAGAAGAAGAAGAAGAAGAAATGTACAAGTGATTATACAATCAGATAATGTCACGAGTGGACATGAGAACGGACTGTCGAGTGACGAGGAAAAGGAAGTGAACCAGTGGCTAAACATGACTGACTACAAGGAGAGTGGGGCGTATATGATTTACACAAGTGGGACAACTGGTCGTCGAAAAGGAGTGGTGACTACACATGCTGCTCTTATAGCACAAATCAGTGACTTGGTGACAGCATGGCAAATGTCAAACAATGACCATCTACTCCACTTTTTACCGTTGCATCATGTACACGGTATTCTAAACAACTTGCTCTGTGTCATGTACGTTGGTGGATCTATCGAATTTTTGCCATTTGCAAAGCCATCACTCATTTGGTCCAAGCTTAGGAAGGCTGTGAATACGACGCGCCCAGTTTCGATGCTTATGGCGGTACCTACAATATACATGCAGCTGCTTGAAGAGATGGAGAAGCAATTACAGAATAACCAAGAGACTCAAGATGCACTGACAGGTGCACGCGGATTGCGTGTGGCTATTAGCGGATCGATGGCATGTCCACTGTCAATTTTGAACCGCTGGGAGAGGTTGACGGGGCAGCGCCTTCTTGAACGCTACGGTATGACTGAATTGGGAATGGTTCTCACAAACCCGCTGCACGGTGACCGCCACCTTGGGTATGTAGGAAACACCTTCCCGAGTGTATCCGTACGCATGGTGAACCCTGACACAGAGATTGAGCTACCGTATAAAGAGGAGAAGGAGGGCGAGCTTCGCGTCAAAGGTCCATCCGTTTTTCGCGAGTATTGGAAGAAGCCTGAGGCCACCGCGCAGGCTTTTGATTCTGACGGGTGGTTCAAGACCGGTGATATTGTCCAATACAACAATGAGCTCAAAAGCTTTCGCATTCGTGGGCGGGCGAGTGCTGACATCCTCAAAACCGCAGGTTACAAAGTATCTGCTCTGGACGTCGAGCGTGTGCTGTTGACTCATCCACAGGTCCTCGAGTGCGCTGTCTTTGGGTTACCTGATGAAACATGGGGGCAGATTGTAGCAGCTATAATTTGCTCGGGGATCGAAGGTGAAAAGATTACTCCAGAGGCTTTGTCTCCGCCTCTTGTGGAATTTGTAAAAGAGCACCTCGCGAGCTACCGCGTGCCGCGCAAGTACTTTTTCGTCCATGAAATTCCTAAAAATGCAATGGGAAAGGTGAACAAGAAAGCGCTAGCTAAGGCCTACTCGGAAAGGCTTGACTTGGCTGCTAGCCTGAGTTGCTAACTCGCATGCTTTGGTGAGAAGATGATTTCTCGTCGACAGGCAGTTTGGTTTGCCAATGCAGTGGCAGCGGGCGGTGAAGAAGCTTCGCGTACCAGTTGAGTTTGCGCAGCCATTGGCGAATTGTGTCTGTCATCACTGCATCACAACAACAACATGTATGGTATTGTAATGTCACGTGACAGTGAGCACACACTCACCGAAGGCTTTCGTCGATCTTGTAGCACTGCACCAGAGTGTACATATAGACTGCAACGCTTTCCATTTCCTGATACTTGGTCTTAGGCTTCTCAGCTGCGTTTTCCGCAGATGGATCCTCCAAGGAGGACACCGTGTCCAGGATGGTCTTCGTGCGTGATGACATAACCCATGACTGCTGTAATGCCATGCTTTTCTCGCTAAAAGCTGCGTCTGCGCTATTCGTTTCGCCGAGCTCTGACAGCAAGACATAGTTCAAAAGTGTTAAAGCCAATCACGAGAAACGTTCGCCACGATGGACACCGTACTGGTCATGGCAGCTGGTCGCTGGAACCACATTCTTGAATCTGTGGGAAGTTGTTGCGAAGTTGCAGCCGCCATTATGTGCTCTTTCGCATTGGCCGGGACTACTGCGTTCAAGAGCGAGTTTTCGCTGTCGCTTCTTGTTGGTGAAGGCGATGATTCTAATGCAAATCTATGCTGGCCGTCTGGATTGTAAGCAGCATGGAAATGAAGTGCAATGCCAATCAATCAACCCACGAAACCACAGAATCAAGAACAACTTGCCAAGCACTCACGATTCTTCCGGTTGGCAGTAACAGCATTTGTAGGAGATAAGGGGCTCGTCTCCTCAGAAGATGGAGCAAAACTACCGAAACGAGTCTCAGGTTGGTCGATTGTATCATTCTTCAGTGACAGCATCAACTTCTTTTGCCATCCAAGTGGAGGGCGGCCAAGCACAATGCTGCACTGCGACGATGTCGATGTTGATGGAGATGGCGACTGAATCGGTGTGTAGCTCATCCGATGTTCGACCGGATGGCGAGTCTAGCCGAACGACAGAATTAGCCTAGTAGATGCAGTGGCTGCAGCACTGGAGAATACGAAGCGTGCATAAGCCTAAAGGATGACTGCACGCCCAGCGGTTCAGTCACAGTCTGGATGTTCACTTTGACTGCTATCACAGCAGATATCACCAGCGAATTATCAAAGCTGCGCTTTAACTGACGAGATACCAGCTAAAGTTGTCACTTGACAACTCATGATAGCTGTCCTACCGACCCACCTCTACACGGGTGCACAAGGTTGGACAGGATAGTGCAGCTTCTACGCAGCAAATCCCAATCCTTTTGCTAGCCTTTCTCATACACTTGGGGTGCCACGTACGACGTGGTCCTTCCGATACTAAGCGAATCGCTGTATCTTCGAAGCTTACGCCGGACAAGTGGCATTCTCGAATTTCCATCGTACGACTCAAGACACAAGCAGACATTTGAACTATTATAATGGTCCTCAAGATTCGCCACGATGCCCCTGCCTTTACGGCTGAGGCCGTCATCAATGGAGAGTTCAAGACTGTGTCATTGTCGGACTACAAGGGCAAGTACGTTGTACTATTCTTTTACCCGATGGACTTTACGTTCGTGTGCCCAACGGAAATCATCGCGTTCAGTGAAAAAGCTGCAGAGTTTCGTAAACTCGGGTGCGAGGTGCTTGGCTGCAGCGTGGATTCCAAGTTTTCGCACTTGGCGTGGATCAACACGCCCCGGAAAAAGGGTGGTCTCGGTGAGCTCGACATCCCTCTTATCTCTGACTATAACAAGGAGATCGCGAAAGCCTATGACGTCTTGATTGACGTAGGTGAGGATATCGGTGCCACTTTTCGTGGTCTTTTCATCATTGATGGAGAGGGCAAGTTGCGTCAAAGCACGGTGAACGACTGCCCCGTTGGTCGCAACGTGGACGAAATTCTGCGTCTCGTGGAAGCGTTCCAGTTCACGGACGAGCACGGTGAAGTGTGTCCTGCTAACTGGAAAAAGGGAAGCAAGACGATCAAGCCAACGGTGGCTGAATCGAAAGAGTACTTTGAGGCAGCTCACTAAACGGATCTGAAACTTTGTTCTGTGGTCTTGCTAAGGGACCGGATGGAGCTAGCGACAAACAGTAGAGATAAGCTGCAATATAAAAGGACATCAGTGCTCATTGATATAACATTGTTTTTAGGATGACGATCCACTAGAATGGGCGCGAGGTTTGCAGCATGAAAGGAGGAAGAGGCAACAGTATCAAGCCCATTTGCAAAGCTGTTAGAACTGTTAGCTCTTTAAAACTTCCTTTACATCGATGTTTGCACTGAGCAAGACCATCACAAGCTCAAATGTGATTGACAACAAATAGCTGCGATCAACAATGGGTTGGACAGAGGTGCCAAAGCAAAGATTTCAAGATGTTCAATTCTTTGGCTACTACCAGCACGACGAATTGTTGAGTTAGGCAGCCGATCCAGCACAAAGTGTTATAAGTCTAGCACATCCATGTAGTACGCAAGACACATTCCAGGCGGCGCATTAATATTTTGATGCTTTATTTCCGTCTGTGGTGTTTCCTGGACCTATTCATAAAAGCCGGACTATACGTGGAGGTTAGTCAGCATGGTTCAACTCGGATGCATGGATCTCTCATATCGGCACAGTTTCTTGGCTTTTGCATTCAATCATCGAGCAGTCATACAACTTTGAGCCTCGCTTCAGTTGTGACGTGTTCGTTTCATAAGTTGTTGGACACTTACTCGAAGCTGATGATCCTGAGAAAGAGGAGGGTGTGGACAGTTTGTCATAACCACTTCCATTGTACGAATCACAACCTGTTGTAGCAGACTGCTTGCTTTGACTGGAATAACTGTGGCACCCATCGTAGGAATGGTTGGTCATGTGTTTCGGCAATACGGCGTTGGTCACTGGGTCAACATCACTGTGGTAGTCAATCCAACTGTCCTCTTCAGTTTCGTTCGATAACTTTGAAGATACAAGCCCAGGCTTAAGAAGCCGTGCTTGCACCAAAGATGACTTGTCAAAAAACCTGCCAAACACTTGAAACCAACATATCCACTCTGCTGATATTGGAACCCGAAATTCCTCACGTCGTGGCTCACTTTCAGAGTCCACACAAAAAATGTTGAACGAGTCGTTCTTGTCTGTGAGCACAACTCGCAAGACTTGGTACCGCTGTTCTAATCGGCCGTTCACTGTGTCCTCGCTCGCATACAGACAAAGACTGTCATCACTTTTCCAAAGACAATAGTACGGTTTCCACCGCTTCAGGACACGACCTTTTCTCTTTTGCAGCCAGCCACGCATCACGACTGCCGTCACTTCTTTCTTCTTAGCCATAGGGAACCCAGCAGACGCTGCCGTTGAGCTCATTTGAAATCTGCTCCGACTAGTATCTTCTCCAGTTGAACGACCTATGGTACTTGCTCGCTGAATCTCTTTATTTTGTCGCTGTCGTTGAGACATTGCAAAATCTTCGGTAGTACTTGTTGTCTTGACACTACCCATACTCGAACTGAGTAGGATCTTTCTAGAGTTGTCATCATAGTAGAATGCATCATTTCCAGTACGATGCAGCTCGTGGACGCGATCAATGCTATTGATACATTCGACACTGGATGTCAAACCGAGAGATGTTCCAGGTACATCTTCTTGAACCTCATTCTTCCTTCCACGCACCGATGCGAGCGTCAATCCATCAAAATCAAATTCAACCGGATACCGGTCGTTTTCTTCACCTTCACTCGTGCCTTGAGCATTAATGCCTAATGGTGTCTCATCAAGGGGGGTGTTGTACTCCATCCAAAAGAATCTGCAGACTTTAATGACAATCTCATTGACGTTCCATTTTGAGCTGATTGTTGCAATGGTGGTGACAATAGCTGAAGACCTCTTGATACTTTGGTAGTACTACTATCAAATAACTGGGTCTGGGTCTCATGCATGGTAGATCAATTGATATCAATGGATATACTTGTCGATACACTGAGAGTCGTGAGCAAAGAGACAAAAAATACCGATTCGTTCTTGATTGTCGTTTCGGATTGTGCACGACGAAATCGAACGGAGACGCTTCCACTCAAATCTCTAAGAAACTATTGTACCAGTCCGGTAAGATTAGAGACGGTGAGCAAAGACAGTGTCAAGTCGTTTGCCAGCTGACCCTGGTAACACTCCTTTTGATCCACGTGTTTGGTCATATAGGAAGTAGTTGAGAATGATTAGGTAGAAACGTACGTACCCCATGCATTGGAAAGGCTGGTCATTTGAAAAAAGGTGAAGAGTAGATAGACCACTTTAACGATAGGATTTTCAAAGCAATACCACGAGGACTATCGCTATCACATACGTACACTCTATACATGTCAAAGCTGCAACTGTAGCAGTGATAACACTCCTTAGACATTATCCTGTTGGCTACCAGCTGTAGTCTCAGTACATAGACAGCTTTTATCTTCTCTAGCTCATTCCAGTTTACTCTCCTATCCCTTTGGTCCAACAGATTGTATGTTCTTGACATGCAGCTCCAAGTCTCAATTGGAACGAACAAACTTATTTTCTAGGGGAGTTTGCATCGAGCCGGCGACTAGGAGGCGGAACGGAAAAATGTCAGGAATTTCTTGATGCCTGGGCGAAGGATGGTGTTGATGCTTTGTCGAGGTAAGAGGACCGGTATGCGGCTCTTTAGAGACCTTTATCGCTTGGCCGTTGTTGCAAATGTAGAAGAGAAAAACAGGTGTCAACATGTATCATTGATGGCATATTATTATCTCAACGTAGCTAGTTATCAATATTGGTCTTTAAGAAACTGGAAAATGCATCATTGCCCGTATTCTAGCCAGCCCAAGCCGGCATTTCTGTGAATCAGATTACAGACTCTGACAAGCTCATGTCAATCATGTTGTTCGACTCCATCACATTTACAATATATAGACAACATTTACATGTTCCTTTTAATATGTTATCGGGTCTATGGCGTCTGATTCCGCAATATTAAGTTGGCGTGGCGCCTCTTTATATATTTTATATAACTGTTTATACCTATTTCAGATAAAAGTATTGAGATATTTAGTCAATATTTTTGAGCCTATTGTAAATTATGCAATAGTTTGTGCTAAGATTCTTACAAATAAATACAAGCAAAATCATTTAAATCGTCCGTTTCAAAAGTTTATCTAAAATTTGTGCTGTAGATTATATTGTAACCATGTACGTTTTTAAACTTATATAACGTGAAAATAGTTTCGCCATTTCTCAGACACGATTGATGGTCCACGAGTACATTCTGTAAGGCATTCTGGCCACTCGCCCTCGCGAAGAAGCATTGCTAACCTAATGAATGCACATCTAGAGAATAAGTAACCCACCAAGCTTACCTACGGTACCTTTACCGATTTCACCACAGCCATGTTATCACGCTGCTATGTAAAAGCAACATACAATGAAGATAGTAGTTTACATTTTATATGCGACTGGCAAACGGCACGCGATTAATATCGTTGATTCGAAACCGTTTGTACACAACTTTGTTAACAACTCAATGCTTTCCTCTTCTCGTTTACGAATCGATTACTCCTCAGCGCAACAAATATTCCGCTCTATTGATCCACAACATTTACACATTTCAAGTATTAAGGGGTAATTTTGGCCGAGTTACAGCCTTTCTTCAAAGTAAAGGGCGATCCTGTTACATAACATTGGCATTACCAAGGTGAATATTATCGTAGCGGATAGTATTTACCAATATTTAATTAAAAAGTCATGTTATCGTTGTATTTCCTTGAAGTTCCTGCTACTACTGATATAGGCCAATACATCAGCCAGCGCTGGCTAAAGAAACATGGACGCGCGCAATGAGTGGTAGCCAGCATGCATATTCGTAGTTACGATATAGTTGAATTAAGGCTCAGCTGATTTAGATTATGAAAGACATATGAGTATAGTCGGAGGGTACCCCGTTACAGATCGAATATATTGTAGCCTAATGTTGACTACGTCATATTCAAAATCTCCATTGATTCCAGATGAAGTAGTCACAAGACGCTAATGTTGGAAAAGAGTGAGCTTTCCAAAGTAAGCTTATGACAAGAGCTGTATCAATAAGTGTAACATATGGCGTGATCGGTTTCGGTAATTCTACTTTTAAGCTTTGGGCAGCACTATGGCGATGGATTTCGTTCTGTTGATCTCTATTCCCACAACCAAAACCTTGACCGACCGCCGCTTTCTACTGAATCGTTTCAGCGTTGAGTCGATCACCTCTTTTGCTTTTTGCAAATTTATAAGCAGTTTACTTTGAATAGTGAGTGTTCAGATTTTTTTCAATTGTCTTGCTAGTTCCAAAACCTTGAAAGATCTTCCACAGCTTCTTCCACATTAAACCAGATCTTGAGCACTCATCGAATATTGTTTGCGAACCCATCGTTCCGTCGGACTTTGTTCCTCTGACTAGGATATTACTTGATCATCGGCAATAACATAATCTTCCGCGACGTCGACCTCCGCATTAGACGCTTTCGTGGAATTCTAATAACATAACTTTATGGAAGCGACTCCTTAGAATGGAATGAGTGTTCCGAAGGTTTGCCATTAGTCTTGTCTAGCTCCAGAATCTTGTAAGATTTACCACAGCATGAGGCCCGAGCTTGATACTTCATAGTTTATGCTTAGAAAGATTTGAGCTTTCATTTTATAGATCTCGTCGAGATTTTGCTTAGCAATAGCTTCCGTTCCGTTAGACTTTGTTCCCCTTAACAAGAAACTTAACCGGAAAATCGCCCGAACATGACCCCTTAAGACGTCAATCATCGTGCCATACGCTTCATTGGAGTCGTGCTATCTTGACATTACGAAAGCTGTCCACTGGAAAAGGGTAAGTGTTCGACTGGGTTGCCATTTGTCGTGTCTAGCTCCAAAAGGTTTAACATACATTTCACATTATTCTTGTCGTTGGCCCACACGTTTAGCTGAACGTCTAGCAGCTTTTCAGCAATATGTCGAATCCTTATTCGCAACTAGAGCACTGACCAGAGCATGTTCCTCTCTAAAATGAGATGCCAACATCACGAGCATCACCCTATGGGCCGCTCCCAAAAAATTCACATACAAGTCTCCGATAAATTCTTGAAGTAGAGTACCTTCTACACTAGTTGAATTAATGTTGTCTTTGTTCAATGCGCTAAGTTGACTCGTAAAATTATCGTTTATGATGAAGGCCCGATGATAAACTCGTTTATCTTGTCCGCCTGTAGGTGCGTATCCATTTCTGAGCACCGATAAGTGAAGGTTCGCTAGCACCTTCACAAAAACCGTCGACACTCTTTCGTCATCGTCACGAGCGGATTGCAGTTTGTTTTAGCCAGTACCAAGCAGGTATTCATCTGATCTTGTAGGAATACAACCTGCATCGTTTAAAAAGATGGTATAGTGCATAGAGACACGACACGATTGCTGTTTATATATTTTAGCCAGTACCAAGCAGATAATCATCTGATCTTGTAGGTATCGAACCTGCATCGTTTTAGGAGATGGTATAGTGCATCGAGACACGAGAAGATTGCTGTTTAAATATTTTAGCCAGTACCAAGCAGATAATCATCTGATCTTGTAGGAATCGAACCTCCTGGATCGTTATAAGAGATGGTATAGTACATCGAGACACGAGAAGATTGCTGTTTATATATTTTAGCCAGTACCAAGCAGATAATCATCTGATCTTGTAGGAATCGAACCTCCTGGATCGTTATAAGAGATGGTATAGTGCATCGAGACACGACACGATTGCTTAATATTGTAGCCAGTACCAAGCAGATAATCATCTGATCTTGTCGGAATACAACCTGCATCGTTTAAGGAGATGGTTTAGTGACTAGAGACACGACACGATTGCTGTTTATTGTAGCCAGTACCAAGCAGGTATTCATCTGATCTTGTAGGAATACAACCTGCATCGTTTTAGGAGATGGTATAGTACATAGACACACGACACGATTGCTGTTATTGTAGCCAGTACCAAGCAGATAATCATCTGATCTTGTAGGAAAAGAACCTGCTTCGTTTTAGGAAGTTGTGTATTGCATCGAGACACGAGAAGATTGCTGTTTGTTTTAGCCAGTACCAAGCAGATAATCATCTGATCTTGTAGGAATCGAACCTCCTGGATCGTTATAAGAGATAGTATAGTGCATCGAGACACGAGAGGATTGCTGTTTGTTTTAGCCAGTACCAAGCAGGTATTCATCGGATCTTGTAGGAATACAACCTGCATCGTTTTAGGAGATGGTATAGTGCATCGAGACACGAGAAGATTGCTGTTTATTGTAGCCAGTACCAAGCAGGTATTCATCTGATCTTGTAGGAATACAACCTGCATCGTTTTAGGAAGTAGTATAGTGCATAGAGACACGACACGATTGCTGTTTATTGTAGCCAGTACCAAGTAGATATTCATCTGATTTTGTAGGAATACAACCTGCATCGTTTAAGGAGATAGTATAGTGCATCGACACACAAGAGGATTGCTGTTTATTGTAGCCAGTACCAAGCAGATATTCATTTGATTTTGTAGGAAAAGAACCTGCTTCGTTTTAGGAGATGGTATAGTGCATAGAGACACGACACGATTGCTGTTTATAAATTTTAGCCAGTACCAAGCAGATAATCATCTGATCTTGTAGGAATCGAACCTCCTGGATCGTTATAAGAGATGGTATAGTGCATCGAGACACGACACGATTGCTTAATATTGTAGCCAGTACCAAGCAGATATTCATCTGATCTTGTAGGAATCGAACCTCCTGGATCGTTATAAGAGATGGTATAGTGCATCGAGACACGAGAAGATTGCCGTTTTGTTTTAGCCGGTACCAAGCAGGTATTAATCCGATCTTGTAGGAAAAGAACCTGCTTCGTTTTAGGAAGTTGTATAGTGCATTGAGACACGAGA